TTATTATTATTATTATCTTTATTTATTTCCCACCTTTCCCAAAAAATTGGGACTCAAGGGGGCTTACAATTTAAAAAACAATGCACCGAAAAATATACCCAAAAAATAAGCATTAAAATGGAATGAACTATTGACAATATTCAAATTATTTAAAAACTATATTTGGAAAGATAAAATACCATTAAAAGAAAAAAGCAATTAAAACACTTCAATTTAAAACAGTATAGCACACTTAGCCCATTCTTTTCTCTCTTTTTTTAACTGTGTTTTAAAAGACTATTGGAATAAAAAGGTCTTTGCTTGCTGATGAAAGAACAGCAGGAAAGGAGCCATATTGACCTCCTTGGGAAGGGAGCTCCAGACTCTAGGGGCAGTCATGGTAAAGGCCTTCTGATAATGGACAGTCTCTGTCTAGTCTCTTGCAGTATTCCTCTGTCTGATTAGCATAACATGCCTATTTAACTGCAGAGCGCTAGGACTGAGAGCAAGCAACTACAGATCAGTATCCTCTCAAATGCAATTATAATTGTAACATGTGTAAAAAAAAATCCTGCCCACTGTCTAGTGCTTTGCTGGAAAGCTGGATATGGAGAAGGAAACTTATAGAGGAAGAAGACAAATCTACTTATAGGGGAAGACAAACTTAAACCAACCATAATCTTTCCCTTCCACCTCAACCCTTTTTGACATCTGTTTTTCCCCCCAGAGGTTGGAAAAGTTAATGGTCATGCTGGCTAGGAGACTCTGGAAGCTGCAGGACAAAAACAAACAAACAGTCTCTGATTTAATAAAGAAACACCAATTACAACTTGCAAAATTGTCATATTCATGCCAGTTTACTTATATAATACCGGATGGTGAAAAAATTGCATAGCCCCTTCTATACAGAGAGAGAGAGAGAGATACACACATGTACACATATACACAAGATTTGTCTGCTAGCCTCTTGGATGTGTCTAGTAGAATGATGGGAGATGGAGATGAAGCTTAGGACCTTATCACACGGGGGTCTGAAGCAGTCCCATCCCCGTGG